AATTAGTTAAATACTTGCAAGAAATCCATATGGCCCACCGAGCCTTAAATATTTACTACATAGCCTTTAAGAAAGTTTGCAGACCCTGTTCTGTTCTCATAATTCTGGATGATCTCACTTACTTCATGTATAAAATCAGGGTAGCACCACCTACCTTGCAGGGGCGTTGTAAAAATTAAATGAGGTAAGACAGGTAATATCCCAAATACAAGGTAACTAAGCAATAAAGGGTCGCTATTAAACTACAATTAACGCCAATACAAATCTGTTTACCAAGTTAAGAAATAATCAAATGTAAAACGATTCAAGCTCCAGGACACTGTTTTTTTTTGTTTGTTTGTTTGTTTAAGATTTTATTTATTTATTTGACAGAAAGATCACAAGTAGGCAGAGAGGCAAACAGAGAGAGAGGAGGAAGCAGGCTCCCCACTGAGCAGAGAGCCCGATGCAGGGCTCGATCCCAGGACTCTGGGATCATGACCTGAGCCGAAGGCAGAGGCTTAACCCACTGAGCTACCCAGGCGCCCCCAGGACACTGTTTTTTTAAATAAAGCATTGCAGTGACATTCTCTGTTAAGGAATAACAATATCCAAGTACTACTGTTTTGTTTTGTTTTTTTAAGATTTTTTTTTTTTTAATTTGACAGATCACAAGCAGGCAGAGAGGCAGGCAGAGAGAGAGAGGAGGAGGAGGCAGGCTCCCTGCTAAGCAGAGAGCCCAATGCGGGACTCGATCCCAGGAGGCTGGGATCATGAACTGAGCCGAAGGCAGAGGCTTTAACCACTGAGCCACCCAGGTGCCTGGTTCAAGTACTACTGTTTTAAAAGCCTAAAATTGTTCCCTTTTCTTCTTTAGTCCTCAATTTAAAAAAAAAAAAAAAAAAAAAAAAAAAAACAAAACAAAAAAAAAACAAGAAGCCAAGCTGCAAAGTTTTAATATGAAATGAATCCTTTCAACACATAATGTTACATATTACATGTCAGAGAAAAACTAAAATGTACATCAGGCTCTAATGAGAAATCTTGATCTTTGACTAAAAAAGGTGGGTGTGGCTAAAAGCTAAGTTTCCAGATTTTGGTAAAGCTACCAGGACTACTTGCCCAATAGTCTAAGCTCCTGAGTTCACTCATGGAACCAATATTCGCTGAGCCCCTTCTATATTCCAGGCTCCAGGCTCCAGTTGTGCAGAGGGCTTGGTGTCCCCACACCAAGAGAGCTTATAAAGAAAGAGGGTGCTCATGGCGCACCTGGGTGGCTCAGTTGTTAAGTGGCTGCCTTCAGCTTGGGTCATGATCCCAGGGTCCTGGGATTGAACCCTGCATTGGGCTCCCTGCTCAGTGAGGCAGGGAGCCTGCTTCTTCCCTTCCCACTCCTCCTGCCTGTTGTGTTCCCTCTCTTGTTGTGTCTCTGTCAAATAAACAAATAATATTTTTAAAAAACAAAGAAAGGGAGGGAGGGAGGGAGGGAGGGAAGGAGGAAGGAAGGAAGGGAGGAGGTGCTCAGTACTGTGTAACATTAGAACTATCCAACAGGGTCCAGACCATAAAGCCGTCAGTGTGAAGCTGTGTAAGATACTAGAGCCCGGCGGCTCCTAAGAGATTATTCAGTCAAACACTGGCACTGCACAGACAGGTAAAGCAACTTCTCCGTGATCACCTCCAATTCGGTAACAAACCGCATCTTCCTGACTTCTTCACACCAGGCTATCTTCTTTAGAAGTTACTTCACGAAGGGTCAAGTCCAATCTTTCTTCACACTTTGTGATGCTGAAAACGCTATTCTGAAAGACACCACCCCATCTTCAAACCTTGGATTCCTCCAGGAAAGTGTTCTCATGTTCTTCTGCCCTCCCACTGAATTCTGCGGGTCTCTGCTACTGCTCCCACCGTTCTATACTGTAACCCTTGGCTTAGCTGATTAGTGTTCTCCCTCCCTGCTCCCCCAGTCCAGGGACAGGGACTTCCAGTCCCCTTGAAGACAGGAACCAGTCTTGATTATGACGACCTCAGTGCTTGTTAGAGGGCAGACATGGGACAACTTGATACACTGTCTCATTTATTTGTTGTTGTTGTTGTTTAGAAAAGCACTTTTATTGAAATTTAATTTAAATTTTATTAAATTTAATTAATTAACATATAGTGTGTTACTGGTTTCAGAGGTAGAGGTCAGTGATTCCTCAGTCTTGAATAACACCCAGTGCTCATTCCACCACGTGCCTTCCATAATGTCCATCACCCAGTTACCCCATCCCCCCACACCTCCCCTCCAGCAAGCCTCTGTTTGTTTCCTATGATTAAAAGTCTCTTATGGCTTGTTCCCGTCTCTGATTTTTGTCTTATTTTATTTTTCTCTCCCCCTATGCTCCTCTGTTTTGTTTCTTAAATTCCACATATGAGTGAAATCATATGACAACTGTCTTTCTCTGATGACTTATTTCACTTAGTAACACCCTCTAGTTCCATCCATGTCATTGCAAATGGCAAGACTTCAATTTCTTTTTTATTTTTTTTTAAAGATTTTCTTTATTTATTTGACAGAGATCACAAGTAGGCAGAGAGGCAGGCAGAGAGAGAGGGGAGGAAGCAGGCTCTCCACTGAGCAGAGAGCCCAATGCAGAGCTTGATCCCAGGACCCTGGAATCATGACCTGAGCTGAAGGCAGAGGCCTTAACCTACACTGAGCCACCCAGGTGCCCCCAAGATTTCAATTTCTGATGGCTGAGTAGTATTCCATTGTGTGTGTGTGTGTGTGTGTGTGTGTGTGTGTATACCCATCTTCTTTCTCCATTCATGTGTCGACGGACAGCGGGGCTCTTTCCATAGTTTAGCTATTGTGGACATCGCTGCTATAAACATTGGGGTGTAGGTGCCCCTTCAGATGACATTTGTATTTTGGGGGTGAATATCTAGTAGCGCAATTGCTGGGTCATAGGGAGCTCTATTTTCAACTTCTTGAGGAACCTCCATGCTGTTTTCCAGAGTGGCTGCACCAGCTTGCATTCCCACCAACATACAATATCTCATTTAGCACTGGTAACAACTCAGTTATCCCAACACTGTACATAAGGGAACCAAACCCCAAAGCCAAAGCCAGGAAAGGTTAAGAGAGCTCGAACGGTGTAGCGGACTCTCTGGGTTACCTATGTAACATCCCTATTACCTCAGTCCCATTCTGATCTTCCTCCTTCAGCCCATAATATATAAAGCTTGAGTTCTATGTATGAACAAAGGTCCACTATTGCTCAGAGATCTGATGCTGTCCATTATAGTCAGAGTAGAGCTCTTTCTTTCATTATCTGCCCTTATTGGACTGGATGCTTAGAGAGTGCTTATTCCCTCATGAAAACAGTATTTTTTGAGCAGGAGTCTGACAGTATTCAAATACCATCCCCTCCTTCTCATGGCCATATGCTTCACTCAAAGGAGGCTGGACTCTTCTTGAGATCAGGAGGTCAAGCATGATGGTGGAAAACAATCAGGGATACCCATCCATTTTCCAATGATGCTGGGATGGGCAGGCAAAGCCATTCTGGCCAATCCGATGTAAAAGGTTCTGCTAGGGAGCTTCTGGGAAAGGCTTCCCTCCAAGTAAAAGACAAAAGCAGACACTCTTCTTCTCTGGACATTGCCTTAGCTACTGCAGACTTCTTGAACTCTTAAAGAAAATTACTCAATTTCCTGGTGGCAGTTTGAAGCCAATGAGTCAGCTTCAGTTACTCTCAGCCAAAAGCATAGCAATGTGCACACGGAGTGGTGGAACTGGGAATCCAACCCAGACAAGGTGATTTTACAGCCCTCGACAATGGCCCTCCACCACCCTCCCCTGTTTGTAACACTCCCATCACCCAGCACAAAGGCCGAGCACATAAGCAGCACTTGCCACCTGCAGCTAAATGAATAGATGAATGATACAGAAATTAAACTCTGAATGATACAGAAATTAAACTCCACTTTCAAAGACAGTATAAATTTTGTATGTAATTGTAAGTAAAATATCAGGGTCCCAGGTAATACGCTTAATGAGTATAAAGCCTGCTGACTCTTAAATGAGAGCAAGGTTTATAATGCATTTGGAAAACAAGAGTCCACACTAGAGCAAACAAAGAAATCCTGTTAAGCACCAGTTTCCAAATCCAAACCAACCTCAGTAAGACTGAGTCAATGAAAAAGCACAAGAGATTCTGTTTCCTGTGAGCCCCTTTCCCAATCCCAATGTCTACAGCACCTATTAGAAGTCATGCCAACACCCTACTGTTCTATCTCAATCTTGACCCAAAGGGGCCACCTCTTGGCAAACTAAGAAAGGGGAGGGGAGGTAGAGAGAATGACACCTCTGCAGCACAAGTCCAGTCCAGTTTTTAGTCACAAAAGCTCAATCCTTAAATGGTAAAATGGTCAATCATGACAACTCATTTGGGTCTTGGGACCCTGCCTGCATCCCCTACCCAGCAAAGGCACACGCCCACTTCGATCTTTAGAACCAGAAGGATATCCTCCAGGCCATTACACACAAGTCACAGAAGAGCCCTTGGCAACCCATACTATTTCTGGCCAGGTACCTAGGCCGACTTCAAAACAGAGATCTGAAGGTAAAATGTGCCACACACTACTGCCAATTCCATCCCCAACAGGAAATCAGTGAAGATGTTTGCTACTTATGAAGGACCACTCACCAACGTCTCATGACCCTTTCAATGTAAGATAGAACATTCACTTCAACTTCAGGGCTGCAATGGTTGTAAACTTCCCAACATAAAAGCCTCTCTTTATCTGTTCACTTGACCTTCTCTCAAAGTGCGAAAGCATAAGGATTCTTTGATCTCCAACAAGAATTAAAGAAGACCCTACTTGCTCCAGAATGAAACATCCAAAAGCCACAGCCTGAGTGTCTTACTGGAAGCCACCTAATGGCTCCCAAAGAAGTCTTTTTCCTAAGGACCAGTTCTGACCCGCCAAGGCAGCCCAGCCACCTACACGAGTGCCTTCTTAAAGCAGCTTACCTTGTAATTGCTAGAGTTCACCCAAGAGGTAGCAAGCCCATCCACAAGTTTATCTAACATGGTCTGGTCATGTTCAAGGTCAGCAGACTTCTGTTTGTCTGAGAAATAGTCTATAAGTTCTTGGCCAACCTGTAGTCGTTTCCCCACATCCTTCTGCAACACCTGTGCCAGGCAGGACTCCATGCGAGGCTCCATGGTGGAATTCAAATCCAGATCCAGCAGAAGCTAGAGGGCAGTCAGGGTGACACCCTCCCAGGAAATATACCCGGGAGGTTGCCTCTTTGTTCGCTGAAAGTTACTAAGAGCCTGTGTTTCAAAGATGCAATCCGGGGAATGGCAACAATGCACCATGTGTGTCTGAAGAGCAGCTGGTAGGATATTAAAAGTCCAATTTAAATAACTAGTAGGAGATAAAGGAGTGAGTGGCCAAGTGAGGTTCTGCTATTGGGTCTGAAATTCTTCATAATTCAGCAGTCCATTCTGAAAAGGGAAAGAGAACGACAAATCAGCACAGAGGACAAAACATCCAAATGTTATGAAACATTAAATCAAAGACAAAGCAATTCACGCTGCAGAATCATTTATAAACACAAGTGGAGTGAGAAGCATGAATGCTTGGCAACCATACCAGAATAACATAATTATTATTTTTACCAGGAGGAACATGGAAGCCCAAAGCAAAGAGCCAATGAGCTACACAGTTGGTAGGTTGATGTTTTTCACAACTTTCCAGCTTGTAAATGAGCCAGTCAGGAAAGCAATCTTCTGCTTCAGCTAGCATATTTATTTGTTGCTTAAATTTTGCTTCCCACCAAAAACCTAACACCCCTCTGCGTATGAATCACTCGAGGTACTGTAGCTTATTGCCATACTCAGAGTTTTCTTAAAAAAAAAAAAAAAAAAAAAGGCGCTGGAAATGGGGCAGGCTCCATAGAAACACCACTGACCGAAGTGGCCAGGCTGATAACATGAACTAGAAACAGCACGTCCATCGAGCTTCTTGCTCACTAGCTTGACATCAGAGTGAACAGTCGTCCCTGCCGCTGCCTTCTCCCTCCAACAAAGAAAAGGGAGCGATGGGAGGGAGAAATGGGAACAGGCCCACACGCTGATCACTTAAGGACAGTATTCTCAGCTGACAACAGCACCATTTGGACCTGGTGGTCTGTTATACAGAAAATCGGGAGATCTCAAAATCATGTTACAGGAAAGTTGTACCAAACTGTTTTCATTAGATAAACTCGGGAAGCTGAACACTTAATCTGTGGCTGCTGGAGGAACCGTACACATCCATTTCTTACTACAATTTCTTCTCTTGACTCTTTTCATTCTAACCAAAGATGGCTCACAAAAAACCTGTCTTCAAGACGCAGCACCTCCCTGCCTCTGTACTAAATGGAACCGCTCCTCACAGCAACAGTCAGTCCCCTCCTCTCGGGGTCCCAGCAGGTAACTATGAACTTATCCATCAAGTAAAATCACAAGTCCGTGCAGAAGAATTCCTCCCCTTACTAACATCCCCTCATCCATCCCTATTCTCAAGATGAAGAGCACAGTGCACTTTCCGAGTTCCAAAAGCACAGACTTCTGACACCAACAGGAATCGTTTAAGTCGAGTCATTCAACGAGGAAGACCCTCCTTTAAAGCCCCTGACACACAATTACCCATATTCTACTTGCATGGGGTTGGGGGCAGGACAGCATTCAAGAAGACTCACTGTCTCAAATGGCAGAAGAGACAGCTGCTTTCCAGTCACTTCCATACCGCGGAACTGGTCTTTTCTTCATAAGAAGGTTCTTCAAATACATAAAAGCAGCTATTACCCTTCATTCCAATTTTTAATCTGAATATAATATCCCCAGTTCATTAATCAGCTCCTACGTTGGCCTAATGAAGGTATCAGTGATACAGGAAAACTGGAGAAACTAACAGAACTTTTTCTCTCTTGGCCCAATATTAACCCAAGAAGCAAATCAAACAAGGGTGGGCTTGTGGTGGATTAAAAATGGCCACTAATTCTTTGTTTCTTTTTTCCCCCACCAAGGTGGGAACTTAGTCCCCTCCACAGTGACCTGAGGTTGGCCCTGTGACCTGCTTTGGCCAGCAGCAAACCAGCTACTGCAAAAGGAAGCAGAGATGTGACAGGCAAGCACTGCAGCTTGCCCTCTTAGAATGCCGCCCTAGGCCTGCCATGCAGTGAGGAAGCTCCTGGAACCAGAGAGGCCATGTGAAAGAGAACCAACACACCCCAACCAGCAGCCAGAAGCACTGTGGGAGTGCGTCCATCAGAGACCACTTACCTCTTTCATTCGTCATCTGACTGCAGCTACGCAAATAAGTCTAAGGAGACAAGCAAAAAAACTACCCAGCTGAAACACAGAACTATGAGAGAGAATATTTCATTGTTGTTTAAAGCCACTAAGTTTGTGGGGTTTGTTATACACCGACAGATAACAGATATACTCCGCCTTCCCCTAAACATCTATCTTTCATTCTCAGTGAAAAGACTCTCCTATCCTTTACTCCTTCCAGGGTCCTAAAATCAACAGATGTTAACCAATAATGAGGATAACCTCATGGTTTTTAAGCACCTACTTGAGGTGTCAAGTTCCATGCTAGATCATTTATATCCATTATCTTTAATTCTCCAACCAACTGTATAAAGTAGGTACTGAAATCCCTATTTTATGGATAAAGAAACTGAGGTAAATAATTTTCCAAGGCCACACAGCCAATTAAGTTTCCTTTCCCATCTTCAAACCCTTATGATTATAAGTCTGGCCTATTTCTCCTCTTACTCAGGTAAGGGAGGTCAGACTTCATGCTCAGGTAGGAAGCAACAGGCAAGAGAACAAACTCTCCATTGCTAGGAAAGAAATGATCCCATTCATTCCAAGTCTCCGCTGTAACTTTAAAAATATGTATTATATAAAAAGCTCCCCTTCAATAAGAATTGTCCATGATTTCTAACAAATAAAAGTATATGCTTCTTGAAGGTTACTATGCAATGAAGGCTTAACATGACAAATTCCTATATACAAACCCACAGAATGAAAGATAGCAGAAGCCCCTAGGCATTAAGCAGACTAGGTTCTCTCTTTTCCCCTTAAATTAAAAAAAAAAAAAAAAAAAAGTAACTGATAATCCTCTCTTATATTTATTTTTATTAAACTGGATTTTGGGGGACCTTTTTCCTGTGCTCTTGAACACTTTCTCCATTTCTACTTCCAAAGGCATTCCGGGAGTATCAATCACATGGGTCCCAACTCACAAGGTACAAAAGTACAAAAATCTCCCTCCCACTCCTGCCCTCTAGCTGCCCGGTTTCCCTGCCTAAAAGCAAATAATGTCCCTAGTTTCCTGTGTATCCTTTCAGAGATATTTTTAGCCATCCAAGTAAATAAATATGTGTCCTTTTCCCTGTACCTCCCAGGAATTTTCTAAATCAACAAAAATATAAGCAAAATTTCATATAGCAACAGAATTATAAAAACATTATATTAAAAAAAAACATTATATTTTAAAAATGCAGAAAACGGAATATAAACAAACAGGAGGAGGAGGTAAAAATCTCTTGCTTCCACCCACGTCCTGTCCAGGCTCTCTTCTAGGGAGAGCGCAACAAGGAAACAGGTCTAAAGTGAACCTAGAACCCAAGGTCCCAGATGTTACCTGTGGCTGAGCCAAATAAAAAGCAGGTCTGTTATGTATAAGGCATTACTGGAAGGCAATGGGATACAAGAGTAAACAAGACTCAGCCCTTGCCCAGAGAGAGCTTAAGAAACCAGCACAGCACCTCTTCGCGTTAGTTCTGAAATCACCATTCGGGAGAGGAGCATCACACAGGTGATTACCTGACATCAGTACTAACATTAGAGAGTACTCAGGGAGCACCTGGGTGGCTCAGAAGGTTCAGCATCTGACTCTCGATTTCGGCTCAGGTCATGATCTCAGGGTGCGGAGACCAAGCCCCACGTCAGGATCCAAGCTCAGCGGAGACTCAGGCTTGGGATTCTCTCTCTCCCTGTCCCTCTGCACCTCCCCTGCCCTCCCTCTCTAAAGAAAAAAAATAAAGAAATTGCTCAGAATGTTGGACTGCATAAGTCGTGGGGATGAAAGCTACAGCACAGGGAATAACAGCAACAGCACTGTATGTAGAGACGGCAGCTACACTTGTGGGGAGCGGAGCATCCTGTACAGACTTGGGGACTCACTATGTCGTACACCTGAAACTAATTCCATACTGCATGTCAACTATACTTCAGTAAAAAGAAAAAAAAAAGGACTCAAAATGTAATACTATTTCCAAGTTTTTAAAAAAATTTCTACTTGTACACATTTTCCAAAATAAATGTAAAAGTGATATAAAAGGAAAGGCAGGTACCTTAGAATAGCCAAGTACCTTTCCTCTTCTTATCAGGCTAAGTGTTCTCCTTCAGCAAGATCTCACCATAAAAGCCATGGAGCCCACTAGATGTTATTGTATCAGACCCTGGAAAAGGGATACATTCCAGGTATTTCTGAAAATAATGCCCCAACCCCACCTGCAAAGGGCCTTTCCATTCCCCAACATCACCAGCGTTGTTTGCCCCTAGTAGAGTAGTTAGGGTCCAAGGCCCCCAACCTTTTCCTGCCACATCATCTTGGTCTATACCTATGGAGAAAAAACAATAAGAGGTCAAGACAATGGTCCTAGAGTCATTCTCCTTTACAGTACCCAGGAAAGTAGAAATTAACAGAGCAACATTTACCAGAACAATAGCCCAGCTCCCACTAGGGACCAACAGGAAGAAGTTAAAAAATACCAGCTTCAACAAGAATGAAGAAACACACAATTAGAGAGCCTGAGGTAATCAAAAGAACAACACAGTTAAGAATTCCAGCCTCCAGTCTTGAGTCTGCCACTTCCTGAGTGGCACTGGGGAGAACACTGGCTCTACATTCATTAAATAAGATGACGAATGGAAAGGGTTTGCACAGGACATTTTTAAAAATTAGCTTCTGGGTGGCTCAGTCGGGTAAGCATCTACCTTTGGCTCAGGTCATGATCCCGGGGTCCCAGAAGAGAGCCCCACCTCTGGCTCCCTGCTCAGTGGGGAGCCTGTTTCTCCCTCTCCCTCTGCCCTTCCCCCCAGTCACCCTCCACCTCCACTCATGCTCTCTCTCAAATAACTATATAAAATCTTAAAAAAAAAAAATTAGCTACTATCTCTATCCCCTTAATTGCCATAATTACTGTGTGGCACTTAGGTACCCAACTATAGAGGCATATTAACAACGGAGGATAGAGGGAGGGTGGAGTTAACAATGGAGGATGGGGGAGGGTGGGAGAGAACAGAACCAAGTATAAACTCTGCTCTGTAGACTTCTCCGTAAGAGAAGCTACAAGTAGAATCATTTTTACCTAGTAGTTCAAAACAAGTTAATCTTTCTCATAAATCTGTGGGTTGGCTGGACCCAGCTAGAAGGTTCCTCTACA